GACCAGTAACTTACGTCTCACAGGTGTCGGTAAGTTAATCACACCAGCGGCCTCACGTCATTCTCCACACGGCCCTCACTCGTCCTGCTCGCCACAGTAAACATGATGAATAGCGACTGTAGAACGCAAAAGCCGAATCCCGGACATTTTGGGTGATCTCCAAATACATTTTCGGGCAGACTCATGGAGACTCTATGAATGGTGGAAGTGTATACTCGCCAATATATTTCATATTACCGTATAAAGAAGGACCAATAAACGGCCAAGGAAAGCAATTTCTAAAATTTTTGCTCCAAAGCTCCTGAATCCACATGCCACATCATAAGATGGAGGAGAAGGTGGGCACCCTGATTGAAGTCATTCATCTCTAGAGATGAGCTGTTTGCAAACGGCTTGTCAAAGCTCTGTACTGATCATTCATCATGACACGGTCACAGTTGTCGCTGCTGAACTCATAGCTGCAATATGGCAATATGGTTATTTCATAAAACTACCACAAACAAAACAGCATTAAGTTTGTCCCAGGCAAGGGTCAAAATCACAATTTGGTATGCAGAGTAATGTCGAATTGGGGTTATGGATTTTAGCACCCGCATTAATTAGCATGGGCCCTGCAAGCAAGGCTATTAGCAAACTGCTAAAAAAAGAATGGAGGGGAAAATAACCTGTTGTATATATGGAAACAGAGTGAGCGCCTCAGACTCGACATAATCAACTTTCGCATGGGCTGTTTCACTAATGAAGCATGGAATTGTCGGAAATGAGAACATGTCAGCTGTGAAAGCGGTCAGTCAGGGAAGCAGATCCGCTGCTTTGGTCATCGCTGACATCAGCAGATAATTAACTGGTTCAGGACTCTAGTGGCAGTAATTAGACTGAGAGAAATACACATTATGAACACTGAATCATGTCCTACTGGAAACTGTAATTGTGTTTCTGTTTGAGACGCCAAACGTCTACTAGTTCAAATATGATATTGCGTTTCAACACTAGCTGTGGTGTGTGCAGCATCTTTTTCCTGGCAGGCTTTGATCCTCTGGAAAGAATCCTGGTGCTAACAAAGTTGGCTCTAACGTCATTCTATCGAGTGTGTAAAGACTAACAAAATGGATGGTTAAAAGACAAGCCAAAAGGCTTAAAAGGGTTTAGAGTAATAAAACCATGCTCTTTATGTAGGGTTTTCACCTTCACTGATGCTGTTCAATGACCATATATAGTGTTTGACATCTGTGAAACAACAGGGCGAGAAATTAATGTCGGAGTTTACATTCTTATGTGAACTAACCTTTAATATAAACCAAATAGCTTAACATACTCTCCATTCTTTCACTCTCAGAAAAAAAGGTACAAAAGCTGTCACTGGGGCTGTACCTTTTCAAAAGGTGCACTTTTGTACCCAAAGGCTGCATATTGGTACCTTAGTGGTACATATTAGCACCTAAAATGTACATATTAACATCTAAAATGTACATAAAATGTACTAAATTTAATATGCACATTTTAATGTGGTTTACATGTTAATATGTACATTTTAGTACCTAAAATGTACATATTAGGGCCTAAAATGGACATTAGCTCCTGAAATGTACATATTAGCACCTAAAATGTACTTATTAGAATATAAAATGTACATATTAACACCTAAAATGTACTTTAGCACCTAAAATGGACATATTAACACTTAAAATGTAATATTAGCACCTAAAATGGACAAAAGTTTACCTTTTGAAAAGGTACAGCCCCAGTGACAGCTTTTCTACCTTTTTTTCTGAAAAATGTATTGTTTGACATAAAAATAAATGATATACTACAATAAAACAATATATATATATATATATACACACCACAATAATGTCTTTAAATTATCTTCATATGAGGGCTTTCTCAGCAAATGTTGATATGCAATTTATTTGATTGGTATATGATGCAATTAATCCGATTGAATTTTAAAAACGATTGAGAGCTCTGGTAAATAATATTATGCCAACCTCGTCTTTAACCATATCAATGTCACAGGGATGTCATAATTTGTTTCAACCTAAAGTCTTTTATGTTTTAAAAACTATTTTAATGGCAGTATTAACAATGTAAAAAGCTCTCCCTTTGTTCTCAGTCATTTCAACCGTACATGGCTGTGAATCAAAGACTCCCGCAGTTGTCATCATAGCATTTTTTTTTTCTCTTGAGGGAAAACAGATGGGTTTTTGCAAAGATGCTTCAAATGTTTTGATGGGATCAGTTTGACTAGTTCAGGTTTTATAATGCGCGTTACAGAATAAACCACCACAGATTTCTTAAAGAGCAATGAGAGATCTGCTTCTCCAGTTTTAATAATTACACACACAGCACGGGTGGAAAAAACACTATGCCTACTCCATTAAAACTTGGCTTTGGTTCCGTCCGTGTTACACACAACCTTTCTACTGACAAGTGACAACGCATCGCCATAAAATAGTCAATTAAAGCATGAATCCAGTGTAGTTAGGTTCAACTAATTGCTGAATCCAGTCACTGCAGGTCTGAGGCCGCAAAAAGGCCTTTGAAAAGCAAACGGAGCAGTTCATCACTGTCATTCTTGGTAATACACTCACTCTTTCCACTCTGGTCAAAAAAAAAAAAAAAAGTAGATCAGTTCCCATGGCAACATAGCACAGCAGGCTCCTGTTGACTAGCAGAATCATCACTGTAGGGGCATTGAGGAGAGATGCCTCATCCTCAGCAAGCCACAAGTGTGTCTGGCCATGCGCCATAGACCCAGCTCAAAGCCAACAAGGACAATAGCAGTTTTATGAATGAGAAGGCATAGGCTCTTTACCTCTGTGTATTAAGCCTATGGTCCAGACCGACGCATGTCTGTGTGCCCACATAAAACTAATCTGGTGTAATTCTAGCTTTGGAAAATGTATTTATCTTGTAATTCTAGCTTTAGAAAATCTAATCTGCTTTTTTCGATATCTGTATGTCAGATGTTTAAGAAGCGCCATCATGCCTGGAGCGAGTTCACATCATCAACGCTGAACTTGTTTGCACAAATTAAATCATTTTTTTTTGTTTAAATGTTATTCTGGTCCTCAGGCACAGGCTACTGATACATTGCAGCATGAATAGAGAATTGAAAGTGCCATATTGATGGACCAGACATTTCAACACTCCAGTATAATTTTCAGGATGAAAACATCTGCAGTGTGACAGGGTCAAAGGTCAAGAATATTAGAAACACGTTCAACGAAAAAATATATTTCAACAGAAGGCAACCGGCTACTGTCACTGATATGGACTGAGAATCAAGTATATTATTATATGGCTCTAGTCTCTAGAATACTTGCTTTTTTTAAATCTGATGGCACTGTTGCCGTTATTCTTGTTGAAAGCCAAATTCATTTGACTTTTTAATCCATAAAACAACATTCTCAGAATGTTACGGGAACCAATAAATGTTAAATGTGGCAAAAAAAAAAAAAAAAAAAAAAAACAGGAAGGGGTGCTGTTTTACCTTGAGCTGGTTTATTTTGTGATAATTCAGCCCGTTCTCATCCTTTAGCGTCACATAGAACGCTATATGACAAAACGGCGCTATACTACGCACATCGCACCCTTTATCGTTAATATTCACGTGAAGCCAAGGCATCATAAATGGTAATCCATGGTAATGGTAATCCATTGACCGGAAGTTGAAGCCAGCCGGGAGCCGCCATCTTGTAGCAGAACTTCACTTGCGTTAGCATTTCCATTTACTCCCATTCATTTTGGCGTCACTTTGACAGCGAATAACTTTACATCTGAGGCGTTTGAAGACTCCATTTGTCCATTATTTATTTTTTAAAGAAACACGACAATGTATAAAATGCTCCATTACCTTATAGCTTATGTTATGGCCACGTAGAAGCAGTTTTTTGTAAAAGTAGGCTAACGATTGCGTCATAACCACGCGACTCTGTCGCACAGTAGAGAGATTAGCGGGACAAATGGCGGGTCACATTATCTGTGTATTTTCTGGATTCTCTGTGTGAAAGGGGCTCTTGATAAAAGTGACTTGAACACACATGCCACAACACGACTTCACAACTCGTAAGTACGAACTTCCCAGGAGGACTTGAACGCACCAATAAACGCGTTTTTTGACCTTAAACCACGTGACTGTTTCCCTCCATTTAAAGACTGTTTTTAGCAGGAACCAATAGAATTCGAGTGCGGGCTGTAAAAGAGATATTTAATTGGTTATTGAATAATAGTCCTACGTCCCTTCACTGGAACACCTAGTGAACTAATAAAAACATCTCGTTTTTAACCATATGCATATAAAATACAATATTTTATATGTCTATGTTGATAGCAAACTGAAAAAAAACACATTTCGTTTAGGAACGAACTGAATGAACAACATCCCATCATGTTTGTAAACGATAGCCTAACGAATCAGCCATCGTTCTCGAACTTTTAGCAAGCATTTCGAATCCTTGGCGTAACGTTAAACTAAAGATTCGAGATGGATTACAATCTCCAAATTCCTTCACCTCAGCCACTTGGTAATTTTTTGCGCAAAATCACCAAGAACTGAAAATGAATGAAACCTGAGGAGCGACAGCACAGCACTGCAGCACTGCCCTGGTCAGACGTCACATGCTGTTTACACAAGTGCTTTAGATTAGAGTGATGTATTACCTGCATCTTGTTTTTGTCTGAGAGGTGTTGGTGTGTCTGTTTTGTTCGCAAGCGGTCACAGGAAACAGACACAACAAACACACAAGTGGTTAAGATCTAAACAAACAGTAGGTTAAATGGTCGGACTGTATTTTAATGTGATAACGTTTCCATAAGACCGTTTTTATTCCGCATTGCGTTTAACAATTAACCTCCAAACAATGTAGTTCGTTTGAAATTATTCGAAATCCAAACGTTCAGCTTAAGGACATTCAAATTTAACATAAAAACACAACAGAAAGGTTTTGAAACTGGACACTCAAACAGGTTGTCCACAAAATAACCCCAAAATATCTCACCGTTTATGGCAAATATGGACGGAACCAGGAGCAATGTAATTCCAACAGATATCAAACACTTGGTCCACACACCGTCCAGGTCAACATATTTTCGGCATAAGGACAAGCCTATCCATTCCGACATGCCTTGGGTTCCAGCGTTGCCATTCCCGCTATTGGAGCCCAAAATGTAGAAATCGTTACGCGCATTTCTTGGGGCCATCGGGCTAGAGATAAATTCAGCAATAGGCCGAAAGGTCCCGAAAAAGACATTTGATCTATCCTTTACAGTTCCTTAGACTGAGGTCTTCTCTCCACTGTTTTTCTGCTCTATGTCAGCATTGAAACTTTAAGGCGATGCGTCTGCAAAGCGCATTCAGAATCATCCGTGACCACCACATCAATCACGCGCGCATAACAGCAGGTTATTTAGCACGCTTCATGAAACGAATATTCAGCATAGGAATCCATGAGGGTCAATCCTATAATCCCGCTATTAAATTAATGATGCTTCGACGGAAAATCGGCTGCTTTTGATTGGGAAAAATACCGCGTCTCCAAGCGAGTGTATGCAGGCAAACTGGTGATGAGGCAGGCGCGTTAAGGATTGATGAAGAGGAAGACGACCTCTGCTGGGTTTACATGAGGATGACTGCTGCTCATGGATGGGCAGATAAAAACATTGTCCATCGACATCATGCTGTCTGCTGTTGTGGGAAATTCTACGAAATTCCTTACGATTTTATACATCATTCTTTTTTATACTGGTAAAATATATACCACCGTATAATCTAAAGCAAAACTATCATTAAAATAATAATAATAATAATGTAATCTTAAATATCTATAAAGCAAGGTGATGACGGTTTCAGTTAATTTTTAACTAATTTCATAGTTAAAACAAGTAACAACAATCCGTTAAGTTTAAATGTTACAATTAAAATATACATTTGTTATAAGTTACTCAACTAAAAGTGGACGATGTATGGGAATTACATCAATAATTTAATTTGCAAATAAATAACCGGGTATTAAAATAAAGACATTTTAGCAGAATAAATGTCCTTGTATAGGCTACTTATAAGTAGGCCTATCTGTTACATAACAACCGGAAGCACCGATATAAAACGTCATACAAAATGTGTGATTCCATCCGCATGATGGCGCAATTTCTTCAGTTTCAACTTAAGTTTTTTTGGCCTGGTACAAGATTATATTTTTGTATAGAATTAATATAATATATTTTTTAAAAAAAAGTAAATTAGTCATTTCGATAATCTTCAGAATCTAATTTGTGATGATAAATTTTAAACAAGTGTTTTCAACAAACAAAAAGCCTCCAAGCTAGAACACATTCTTCATGTTCTCAGTTGTCTTTCAGATTTCTTTAAATAAAGACAAACAAACATTGTGTGCCCGCAGCAATATATATTTTAATTCAAAGTGAATTTTGACAAATACACCATAATTTCTTTAATTTGACACTCACCAATAGTCACCAGGAAAACCCGCTTTCTGTGACAAAGTACATAAGGCTTGGTCACATATAAATCACTGAGAACTAGAGAGAAATACGACCGCAAACTGTAAGAGACATTACATTTAAAAAAAAAAAAAAAGGTTCCCAGTCCTCATATAGTGAATATTGCACAGTGCAGTGGCTACATGGCAAACTAATGTAGCATAGAAATCAAAAGCAAACAGAAATCAGAAAGCCACAAAAAAATTGTACAAATATGAAAACAGTAACAGTTCAGATTTAGTCAATCAAGTCTGTTTGCTCTTAAGTCTAAATATTATCCGATAACTTGCAGTGAGATTTAACTTTTACTAAAATATAATCTGCAGAGGAGTTAAAAATAGATCTAAAGCAATCCAACCCAAATCCTACGGCAAGTGTTACACAGTAGCACATATGACAAATACAAGGACCCTGAATTAACTGTACAAGAAGATCTAAAAGAAAAACTGTTTGGTTTGGGAGTTTCAAAAGACATTTCAACTTTATTTTTGTTTCAGATCCCTCGGTCCTTGACGATTACGCCAAGTTTCACTCTTATTAGGTTGGGGTTGGTAGACCTTGTTAGAAGTAAAACATTTCGTAAATGTTTACTTGCAGTGAATTAATGAAAATAATTCATATAACGTGTGCATGAGTAGCAATTTAATACTCATCTCTAGTGCTACATGCTAAATATAAAATATAGGGTCATAATGCGAGGTACAACACCATATTTTGGACTGTATCTCCACGAAGTCGGCTATGCTAAAGCAACAAATTCTGATCACGTCCTGTGAAACAAAGGGTAATGTTCATTCTACTTTACAAATGGTGATTTACATTCACAGTGTATCATGTAAAGCTTCCCAAATACAAGAAAACCGTGTCTTGGGCGTTTAGTCAGCATAATAATAATAATAATAATAACAACAATCCCTGATATCATTTCATTATTGTTTTGCTGTTGTTGTTGGTCATAAAAATATAAATTAATCAAGCATGATTGGATTTCCTTTCCACCATTTTGAGAAACAAACATCCATTTTTTTCACCGTACAGGTGATTACTGCATTGCATGAGTATCAAGTTACACTCACTATTGGTTATCAGGTTATCCAACAGGATTACGATCTACTTTTAAGCAACTGGTCGGTAACAGCACTTCAGTTATGACTATCAAACACTGCAGTTACACTTTCATCCCTCGGTCAAGCATGAAAGCGAGGAAGAGGCTGGGAGGCAGTGTTTGAAAAAGGGATATAAAGGTCTGAAGCACATTTCAAAGGCACTAAAGCAGTGTCGCTCGCTTTTAAGAGCAGGGACCGGTGCGAGAATGAACACCCCTATATAGAATCGCCAACAAAATGAGAACGGGTGCCCTAATAACTCCTGGTTTTTAGAGTTAGCGAACAGTCCGCCTTAAAACATAAGCAAAACGTGCATTCTGTATCGTGTGTTTTTTTTGTTTTTTTTCGTTTCTCAATACATGAATATACCTGATACACCTTTTTGTGTGCATTTCAATGTAAAATTATAATAAGGGGGGAATTGAAATGAAAAAAAAAAAAAAAAAAAATTCTAAGCACTGTCGTTAAGATGAGACGCCCAAATGCGATTTTTTTTTTTTGCCCAACCCTACATTTTGTCTAGCTTATCAAACGTATCGAGTGCTAATAGCATTACTAAAATTAATATTTTGAAATGGTGAGATGAGTAGGTCATTGAATACAGAATTTATATCGATACTTAAAACAAAAAAGTTAAATCTATCCTGCAAGCTATGCTTTAACAAAATGCAAATATACGTACTAAGATAGATATACACCAATATGCATCTAATACGTAAGATTAGCCCCAAGATAACAACAGATAAAACACTGATGCAAACGAAACGTAAAATACAAAACCCACGCACACAAAACCCCAAATCTCCATTACTTGCAATACAGTAGTTACAATGACACTTCAAAAAATAGAAAGCAAAACAGAGAGAGGCATTAAAATGCTTCTGATGCCAGACAGTACGGTAAAACCCCAAAACAAACTAACAAACAAACAAACGGAAGAAGAAAAAAAAAATCATCTCACTTCTATTTCAAGGTAATTAGACATATATAAAAATAAGAAGGCTAAGAACAAAGTTAATCATCTAATTTCACAGCTATTATGAAGTGGCAATCAGTATATAGCAGCTTATCTATGATACATTCAAGAATAAATGAAACAAAGTCATAACTTGCCCGAAAAAGCTAAACATCAACCTCAACATTTTTACATAGATTTTTCTGTTAAATACGGCCTCAACTACACTACGTTCGAGGTCTACGCTAAAACAGTAGCTACTCTGCTTAAGAAATGAATTACTGTCTTTGGTGTAGCGAAAGCATCATAATGAAAGAATGCACCTAATGAAAAACTCAAATCTAAAAAAAGAAAAGAAATTCACACAGAAAAAAAAAGCTATTTCTCCCTGACGGAATGTATGAAATAAAAACAGCCAGCGTCAAAAAAAGCAATTAAATGGTGAGAGAGGGAATACAAAATCCAATCTTTTCACATGCATCTATGAAAAAAAATTGCACACGATCAACTCTCGTCTTATATAAAGCACTGAATACTCCAGCAATGATAGACTTTACAGTTGGATACTCAACACTGAATAAATCTGCACAAAGCAAACATGAAACCATACGACATCATCATCATCAAAGTCCAACACCGATAACACTTCTAACTCTAAAATGAACATAGAACTGATGGAAAGAAAACGAAAAACACACCCCGAAAACTATGGATTGTATTGCAGTTTCATTAAACAGTGTAAATACTATTAGATTAGAAACAGATTATCAAATATGAAAGTACTCAAACGTATCTATACATAGTTCATCGGCCTCTGCTACGGCGAAGCGCGTTATACTCGAAAAATCGAACTTTGCTACCACTCAGCGTAATACATCCACCTGTAAATACCACACGCAAAAGGACTGTATCGCTTCAGAATAATGCGCAAATCATCTAAGGCGTTAAACAACACATTGTACGTCGCCCTGTACGAAAGGTGAAATCAAGAGCCCGATCATGCATTCGGCAGGCGTAAATAGCCAGTCGGGTGAGATTTTGACGGTTTTAAACATGTTTGGTTCGACGCCCAAGCCGCTTTCCGAACAAAAACTCCTGTCGAGAGCCTAAGAGATTAATTAAATAATGATAAATGACACCGAAGTAGAGATTATGCAAGTCAACGAATACACAATCGCACCAAGCTCGAAAAACGAAAAGATCTATGAAACAGCCCTAATATAAAAAAATCACAAATAACGATTGAAAATGTTTCAAGTGCTGCAGTCCGGTACACGCACACGACTGCACGTACTGTAGGACTCGGGGTAACTTGCAACAACATGTATTTTAAGGCACTGTTTATTGAACCCCAAGGATTCAATGCAGCAAGTCTTACAACATATACACTGAGGGTGAAAAGCCCCCTCCCCCTTTTTGAAGTCCAACATTGGTTTTTGCCCATGCAGAGACATGCAGTGCGACAGAACCTTTTCAACACCGGTCTAAAAGAGAGAGACTTAACACTGAAGAGCATGGGGCTACTACGGAAAAATACAGACGGGTAACACCGGGTCACCACAAGGGGGACTCGCACGCACGCACGCTGTAGACAGGGATGGCTTGAACGAGAGTCACTGTGTCTAATACACACGTCAGAAGGCAATATTGAAAAATAGCATAGGGGAACTGCTGCGGCCCTCCGCCGAGGGGTTCACGACTAGGGATTTTGTTGTATCAAATGTGCAAAAACACATTAAAAGCGAGTTGTGTTCAGATCCACTCGCTCGCTCACGCATCCATTTGTTTGTTTTATTCTCCATGATATCTGTAAAGCTTGATTTGCATCATCGTCAAACTTTATGAGGAAAGGAAATGAAAAGAAAGATGGCGCGGCTCAGTGCCGGCTGCGTGCGCGTGGCTGCCGAGGGCTCCAGCTCAGATGTAAGGGTACTGACTGAGTTTGCTGGGGCTGAGGGGGAAGCCTGCGTAGACGGGCGACGCCACATAGGAGTGGGGGTGAAAGAGGGCTTTGAACTGGCCC